AGATATATACAATTGTTGTTGCATTCTTGTACAGCTACTAGTACGCGTAGCGTTTCGGGCAGGTCCCTGGAATACGATCCCCGCCGCGAAGAATCGTTTTTACAACCAAGTACCCATTTTACTGTTGAGTTAAACAGAGGCTACAGTTAAGGATTTGCGCCTAGTAAATCCTCCAACCCGTCCTCGACTCAAGTCCATTACATCCAGCGGTCGACCCCACACACGCATTCATAAATTTTAACATGCTGTTCATTCAAAACAGGAATTTTCTCAAGTATAAATTAATATTATAATATATTAGCATATTGTGTATATATAGGCATAGGATAGGTTAGGTTAGGTGTTTAGGTTCTGTTGGCGATTATTTGTATTTGTAGTACGTGGGTGAAGCATTTATAGCGTTGTGATTCGAACAAAATGCGTCAGTGAAACACTTGTTCCGGATATGTTCGAACGTCAGCAGTTGTGAGTCGTGTGTAAATCATTTTTCATTCATAAACAGGGGGTTTGGCGGGTGCATGGAATCACTTTTGGATCTTTGTTTGGAGGACGGGCTGAATCCTCCCCGGCCAAGATACGAACCCATGACTAAGCGCTCGCGGAACGCCAGGCGAGTGTCTTACCAGGGGCCTTACAAGGGGGCCTCGTAGCCTGGTGGATAGCGCGCAGGACTCGTAATTCTGTGGCGCGGGTTCGATTCCCGCACGAGGCAGAAACAAATGGGCAAAGTTTCTTTCACCCTGAATGCCCCTGTTACCTAGCAGTAAATAGGTACCTGGGAGTTAGTCAGCTGTTACGGGCTGCTTCCTGGGGGTGGAGGACACTAAAGCCCCGAAATCATCTCAAGATAACCTAACCACTACACCACGGAGACTGGTAAAGTCATGTATATTGTGACGGGTCGGTGGCGGAGGATGGCAGGGCAGGGTGTGGTGTCCTAATAAGGGAATATACTGAGTTTGGGACTATGGACAGGATAATTTAACTCCGACTTAGTAATTATATATCATCCACACAAGCTGAACTGCAGGCCATTCTAACGTGTTTGGAGGAAGTGCGTCATGACGACAAAAATGTTTTTGTATTTGTCGATAGCCTAGGAGCACTTGAGTCCTTAAACAGTCGAAACCCAGTCTTCATGTCCATAGTTGAGGATTGTAAGAAAAGGATAACTGAGATACAGCTGAAAGGTCATACAGTAGTGTGAAATTCATGTGGATTCCATCTCATGTTGGAATAGTGCTCAACGAGGTGGCGGATGACTTGGCCAAACGTGCCACATCAAAACCACAAGTTGACATTGAATGTGAATTCACAATGAGACAAATAAGAAGCAAAATCAGAAATATTCAGGCACAGGCAGAAGTGGAGAGAAGTATAATGTATGAGGGAAGTCAAACCATGCAACACTACATGTATGCGAGTCAAAACACCCATTTCACTTATGGTAAAAGGAGAAATGCTTGGAGTGACTGTGCACACGCGGCTCAAGCTTGGGTACAAATATTACTGGGAATATAGGATAGATGTTCATGATAATGACACGAAGTGTAAACTATGTGGTATGTTAAGGTCTCACACCCTGGCCCATTATGTTCTTGATTGTCCGTTAATTAATGTATATAGAAACACTGAGATAAGGACTGTTCCTGAACAAATAGCCTGGATGTGTCACAACGGAAAGGTTGATGATATTCTTGAGATATAAGAATTTTGCACCAAGACTGTAATCTTTTGTTGAATTATCTGCATGTCTCTTGCAAACTGTCTATACAGTATACCTAGGTCATAAAAGTATTTGTATGTACGTCTGATACCATACAACTTGTGTAAAGGAGGAAATGTATATGTTTATCTCTCAGAATGTTCAGTAATACGTTTATTGCTTGTGATGTGTGTATGTATGTATTAACAGGATGTACTGAACGGGGTGAGAATAGCTTGAGCTACCTCATCCGTTTGTGTGTATTTTACCTCAATAAACTTATTTCAATTTCAATTCAATTTCAATTCTCTCATTGAATACTTAAACCTATAATTATGACCATGAACTACAGTACTAACATATCAATATGAGATCTTAATGATCCATGGTTAACATTTATAACTTAATAAGGATAATACTAGTAATAATAATAATACAAGCTATAATTTAAAACCTATATTACCGAATAATAATAAACCTTTATTATTACCGATTTCTTAGGTGTACACAGAAACAAGCTTAGGTGTACACACAAATGTGCTGCTACCCTATTCTATACGAAAGATTACAGCGTAGATCATAAACTAGCTACAAGCTCATCCAGCATCCACACCACACAGGACAGCCAGTCATACATGGAATCAGGAGAGAATAAGAAATGTAAGACTGATCTATTAGCCCCCACTAGCAAAATTTGGGTACAGCACAAGAATACCTTCCAATATTCCTGAGTGTATGAAGCAATTACAGAGCTCAAAGTACCTCATACCATTTGGTCTGAAGTCACTGATAACATGGCAATCACAGATATAGTGTTGGAGAATATGTCCTCTTAAGTAGGACTGAAAACAGAATTTTTTTTACCCAGAGGGGCTATAAAAACCCAACCCACACATACTAAATAATGTTGTGAATAATGAATTTAAAAAAAAAGTCCACTTATGGATGCCAACCAACAAACACTAAACATAGAAAAGACCTACTACATCTTATTTGGAAGCAAATCAACAAATGCAATTCAGTTTCACATAGACAATGTTATTAGTAATAAAGATGATGGAAAATTTCTTGGCCTATTCCTAGAAAGAGACTCAACTTCAGCCACCCACATGCAACACACAAGAAAGACTTTAAAACAGTTGGTATACTCTTTAAAAACAGATATTATGTACCTAACTGCTCTCATCTCACTATATTATGCACTAATGTATCCCTATCTTAATTATGGTATCTGTGCATAGGGTTCAACCACTGCAAACCACCTCAAGTCCATCACCACTCGGCAAAACTCTGCCATCAGAATACAGTAATAACAAACTCTGCTTTCAGACAACACTCAGCCCCCTTGTTTAAATCCTTAAACATGCTGAACATAAACTCACTCCACATATCTTGTGTCAATTACATTTACAATGCCGTTCTTAAATGCAAACCCTGCTCCGAAACTCTCCCTGGACAGATGTAATAGGACCCATTATCACCACACCAGAAATAAATCTCTCTTTGATATTCCCAGAGTCAAACTTAATCGGTGTAAACACTCTATGCAAATAAAGGGACCTAGTCTATGGAACTCATTCCCTAATGAATTGAAAAGCTGTCCAACTTTTGCGTCATTCAAAAACAAAACTAAAAAGTACTGTATCTAATTTCATCTTCATGTTTCCTACCTTGTGCTTTAAAATTGCACTGTATCTAGGGCTACCTAATCTCCCAATCTTTATGTACCTAATCCAAACAACTTTACCATTGTGATCATTGCTGTCTTCTTATATGTGCTATCAATATGCTGTATTGTGCCTATTAATCTTTGTTAAATTACCAATCAAGCTGTTCAGTGCAACCAATCAAAGCTACCGATGTCCTTTAATATACCTACTAATCTCTCTCATCTCATTTTTTCTTGCTATGTACCTGTTATTTTATAAATTCTGCTAGAATTTACCTACTTAAAATTAACTGTTAGATTAAGGACCTGCCCGAAACGCTGCGCATACTAGTGGCTTTACAAGAATGTAAATACCATGCTATGTATCCTCACAAACCCAATGTACCTTCTTGTATATAAATAAATACATAAATAAATAAATAAATAAACCCATGGTACCGCCTACCCGCTGAAGCCGTAAATGCCAAAATCCAGCTAGGAAACATCATTAGGACAATTGGCGGGACTTGTTAACAAGCCCCCAGTTTTTTGTCCTCGTCAAGGCCACTAGATAGTTAGTGGCCCTTGGGTAAATTTAGGTAAATATATACATAAATAAATACCATCACTTCTCAAATCTTGGGAGCGACAAGGAAAGCTATACACTATCTCTTAGAATTACGTAGGTAAACAAAAAATATAACATTTGTATACTGCAATGTCGGTGCTGACTGTACAAGTTGAAAAGTTTTACTTCGAAATGTACTAATTTTATAAGAAAATTCGACTTAAATAAGTAGCAAGTGGTCACGGATAAGCTCCAATATGCCAGCGTCATGATTGGCTACAGCTGTAAGATGAAAAATGTTACCTTCTCTCTGATTGGCCAAACTAAAAGTATAGTGACATCTAGAGAGACCTAAGTGAACTACTTAAACATCTTCGTAAGTATACTTTTCTGAATCTCCCTTCGGCGCGTTCTTAGCCGGTACGTAGGAACTTTCGTAGCACACATACTTACGAAGAAATACATGGAGCTTCGTGAATCTAGGCCCTGGTACTTCAAACAGTCTCCCATTGGATGTTCCATGCAATTTTTTTGCATTCACACTTAATGTTAAAAAAAAAAACTTCTCGCTTGTTAAGTACTCATATTTTTGTTCCTAGTTTGGCTGTTATCTGTTGGTTTAACAAAACACTTCCCATTCTTGCATTTGCAACCTCTTGATCAATCTTTTAACATTCACCATAACAATTAAGAATGAAATATGAAACCATATTACCTAATGCCTCCAAAAAACATGTAGTGTGATCTGCTTTCCTCGTTGTAGAGGTTAGGAAGTTCATTAGGCTTATTGAGGCCCACCTAGGTCAGTGACTATTTTTTTCCAAGTGTCCATCAATGCCAAAGTTCTCACGTTATTTCCTGTACCCTTTCAACTGCTGTCTTACTCAGTCCTGTTGAGCATTTTCATATTTAGCAGCTTTATATACACAGTGCATTCTCCAATCTGGTAAATATTTAATGCACAACTTTCTTGGTTATTCATCATTTTCAAGAATTTATGAAAAACTGTAACAAAAGACAGCCATATGGACATGAACCATTCCAACTTTTCCAAAATTAAGGTTAACAAAAAACTAATGTGAAAATCTGGATTTATTTACAATCACAGGGGTGATCCACTCTCACACATTAAACATGCAGACCTGATTTTTTTTTTAAGTTTTGCACCTTGATGATCTGTTTACATAGCTGACATCACATGTAATTACAACCACCTGATGAGCTGTTTAGCATGTTGACACACATACTATTCAACTCAAACATATTTTGAGTAATTAGCCAGACGTCAGAGAATCATGAAATATTAAGAAAAAATAAATGGATCATAGCAAGTTATAATAAAAAATATTTAATTAGAAAATATTCTCTAACTTAGGGTTAAAAAAAATAGGAATAAATACAATAGTGGAAAACAGGTACTGTTGGCACATGCCCTATCTCTTGGGAATAATCAAAACCCTTAACATGGTTACATTTTATAGGTCCTGTTTTGTGTGCGTGTTCTGTGTGTGCGTGTGTTCTGTGTTTGAGTGAGCTTATGAATACGTGTGGTGGTGTGTGTACTTGCAATGTTCAGTAACTATTGTTTTGAAACAACTTATTGAATTAGATTATTTTCTCGCGTCCAATACATTTCTTCTATTCATATGTTAAAAATAAAAAAAAAGAGTTCCTTCTAGCATCCATGTGGCTCAACTGGGTCTCATTTCCATCCATATTCCTGTATTATAAAAAACATCTCATTATCAGTTCCCTTGAGAATTTTTGGTTCTTATGTCTCCTTGATTCAGTTCCCTCATATACACTCACAGTTCAATCCCCAAAGCTCTGGTGTGCTAACATGTGGGTGTATATGCACTTGTTTACGTGTGTGTTCGCATACGAGAAAGCGAGCGAGCGAGCGAGCGAGCATGCATGCATGCCTGCCTGCCTGTCTGCGTGCGTGCGTGCGTGCGTGTGTGTGTGTGTGTGTGTACAAGATCAGGACTAACCAATACAAATTATAGTCTAGAAAGCTGTATTTTATTTTCCTTCACAAAATAATAAATTTATGTTCCCACTAGACAATGCTGTAAGCATTTTACTAGTTTCCACAAATATATGTAGGCCTTTTAGGTTCCCAATAGCCCTGTGCAAAAATGCAAGATTTCCTCTAATCCAAGATAAAATAATTTGAGGTTCCCACTCACACATGATGTAGGAATGCATACTTACACAAGTCTCAATGTCTTTCTTGTCTTGATGTTGAGCAGCATGTGCTAGTATTTTTTCCATCTGCCTTAACACTGCTACATTTTACCACCCAAAATGGAATGGGTAAAGATCTGAATGTGAAAGTTTGAATACACTGTACACGAGTATTAGATCACTGTGATATAATACCAATCTTTGCTAGTACATCTAGCAAGTCAACTCATCATTAACAAAAACCATTGAAGTATTAAAGTATATACTTTTAAAGCCACAGAAAATCTCTCCCATAAATAAATAATGTTGAAAAAATCCTAAATCAACATTCAAATTATATTGAAGTCTTAAGGTAAATTGGAAGCCGAATTCCAGTTTTAAATATCTTATCAAAAGAGGAGCTTTGCAGGAGCTTAATGTCTCACTTCATGGTCGTAACTTCACCAAATTTGACTCCATATTGATTATACCTTGATAACTTTAGTCAACAGTTTTGTGCTTCTCTTACCAAGAAACTTTCAACAGAAGCAAACATGGTCTTGAAAGATTTCATAACTATATAACAAATATTTACATTATAAGAACAGAGTACCCTGAATGACAAAAAATAATTCTCACTATTATCAGAACCCAGAATGATATTTACGTGGGCCTTTTCTTCATAACAATAGCCAGCCACGTTATATTATGACTTGACCGCACCCAATTTCTTAGCTTCTATCTCGTATATTAGTAACCGCCACATCTTCACTACAAAAACTTCTGCTTCATCGTCAAGCACCTGAAAAAGTATAATCATATTTTAATCTTTCTTCTGTACAAGTATTTTAAAGAAAATATGAACACAGTACACTCTTGCTTGAATGGAACCGGTTTCTCCTGCAAGCCAAATGCAATTAAATACTTTCACTGGTTTGTTGACTTGGATTCCACCAGTAAATATCACAAAAGCTCCAATCCACTGTTTGGGGGACAAACTTTGTAATAAACATATGAAAAATATATATTAAAATATGCTAAAAATGCATATTACAATTACAGATTACCCTTGTGTCTTATTCTAAAAAAAAAAAAAAAAATAGGAGCATATCTCCTATTCTCCAGAAATAAAACACAAAGTTTTGCATTGTGACTAATCATTTGGACTGTTTAGAAAAAAAATTAGATTTTTGGTCTTCATTTTGAGCTTGATGTGGTTTTCATGTACCTGCTACAAAGCTATGAGAACAAGGTATAGGGGCTGGGCTGTAGGAATACTTGGGCACGATGAAAAACTGTCAACATTCAGCATGTCAAAGGTTTAAATTTAAGACTTGATCTATGCAGCTCTATGTGCAACAATAACAAAATTAGATTATTTGTATATTCAAACTGCATTGTTTAATGTTACTTATGTATGTGTGAAGATGCAAAAGGATATGTTCTAGAATTTACAGTAAAATGCTCAAAACAATTTGGTGATAAATGGCAAATATAACAGACTTCAATACAATGGAACTTCATTTGCTGCAAAATGATTTGATACAAGCCTCTCCAATCGAGTTAAGAACACTGAAAATGTGGATTCTCTCAATAACCAACCTGTCCTCTTACAAATTACGTCGCTTTTCGCTCGATGAAAGGTCAAATGAAAGGCCGTAATTTGAAAATGAAAATATACTTTGGAATTTTTTTCAGAAACAGCAAGTTGATTCTAAATAGCTGGGAGACCCAAAAATATTCGAATTTAATGAAAATTACTTATAAATATTATACAAATCTCAAATTATTTGGCAACAGCATCATGAAAATTTCATCCCAATATGTTAAGAAATGGATTTTATGTGAATATTTATAATAATAAAAAAAAGTTCTGATTATAATGTGAACAGCTCCTGTTATCTGGAACTGAGGGATAATGCAATGATAAAGGGATGCAAGCACCTGTCCAATACACACAAAGAAGATTAGTACTAAGGAGGGTCCACAAAGTGGATATGCAGCTAGTGCCTTTCTGGCATTACTGAGTAATACCTGTGCATAACAACACAAATAATAATGAGTATGTTATTATGCTGTGTTTTTTATTTATCATATAAATACATTGTCCAATGCCAATATCAGTTAGATTCACCTTCCCAACAATTTGTTGGGAAGGTGGTGGGGGTTATCTTGAGATGATTTCGGGGCTTAGCGTCCCCATGGCCTGGTCCTCAACCAGGCCTCCTTTTTGTTACACCCCCCCGCCTTCCCCAGGAAGCAGCCCATAGCAGCTGTCTAACTCCCAGGTACCTATTTACTGCTAGGTAACAGGACCATTAGGGTGAAAGAAGCATTTTGCCCATTTGTCACCACCTCCACCGGGGTTGGAACCCGGAACCTGAGGACTACGAATCCAAAGTGCTGTCCACCCACCCAAATTTTTTTTTCCTTTGTTTATAATTGGATTTTGGTGTAGCTTCTACATCTTGGGTAATGCATACCTGTCACTACGTAAGTGATGGGTGAACGAAATTGGTCAACAAGTTGCAGGTGGCAGAAATTTACTTTTTTTTTTTTGACAAAAAACTTACAGATTTCAAACACTCCGTCACTTTAGGTTGAGTTGAAGAATGGGGACCAGATGCGGGCCTTATCACTTGTTTAAAGTATACTTATTATCCTTATTAGCCCATTATCCTTATCTCTATACAGTACAGGTGTATTTTTTTTATTATTTTTCTTGACTTTATTTCCAACACATTTTGACCTACAACTTTCACATATTCAAATACGAATGCCAAACAATATTTATTAAAACTTACAAGGTATGACAAATTCAAACTACTACAACACACAGAAATCACAATAGTGTGATGCATCAAATGAACAAATCCACAAGTCGTGACGAGGGTTCGAACCTATGTCCGAGAGGATCCCAGAGGCTGCCTAAATCAACAGAGCTACGACATGGTTAAAAGAATTGCAACCGGGAAATCATATGTCAGGATGATTTCTCGGTTGCAATTCTTTTAACCATGTCGTAGCTCAGTCAATTCAGGTGGCAACTGGGATCCTCTCGGACGTAGGTTTGAACCTTCATCGCGGCCCTTGTGGATTTGTTCATCGAACTACTATATTTATTGCCGAGAAGTTTACCTTCATTTTTCTCCGTGAACAGGATTTTCAACTTTGAGACAAGCTGTTAAATTCAGTTTCTGAGCATAATTCTCACCATTTTTACATATTATGTGCAAAGTTCTTAGTTCTAAGGTTTTTTCAATTGTGTTTATTCATAAACCTATAACTTTGGGAGTTATACATTTTTTGCATCTAAATTTTGCGCATATTTTGAAGAACAAAGTGACTATTTTGATAAACTATTTTTTTACAGTACCTATACTTTCAATACTCTCAAACTCAATTCTAAATTGAGGAAGTAAGTAAGTAATTATCAAAAGAAGGCACCAAACCGGGAAGGCTATGTCTAAATTGAGGAAAATGAACATTATATGCCATTCTGAGTCCATAACGAATAAAATAAAAATAGACGAAATATTAAATTCGTCAGCTGAATTTGAAATGGTAAAATTTTTAATTTTTTTAAATAATTTTTTTCCCTGTTCATGTTATGATACTGAACCATTATTAAAAATTGGAGAATTTACCATGTAGATTATGCAAATAAAGTTTGAGTGTGTTTGAGGAAGGTTCTGAAATCAGTCTCCCGGCCCCTGGAAGGATAGGAGTTCAGTTCAGAAATCAGTCTCCAGAGCTTCCTGTCCTCTTGAGGTTATCTTGAGATGATAAAGCCTATCCTATCGATGCCCTCCTATCTCTTGTAGGATAGGAGGGCAGGAAGTTCTTTTAAGTTTTCAAAACATTATAAAACCGTTAATTGAAAGTTTCTTCTCCTAACCTAACAGTCTAAGCAAGAGGACCCACAACAGAAAACAGGACAGCACGCCACTTTGTGAGCAGATTCCATTTTCATTTACTGTACGTCCTTTCTGTGGAGAGTTCCTTCGGCTACCCGGAGCTATACTGGACTGATGTGTGTGTATATATTAGACCGTGGCAACAGTCAATTGATGGAGTTGTTGGCCTACTGGGGACCACGTGCCAGAACCTGACCCCTTCAGAGGCACGAGGAGCAATGGCCTATAGACACCCTCATGTAGTTAGAAGCAGTCTGTCTTACACCTAACAGGTCAGGCACCCAGAAAGGAAGAGATCACAAAACAAACTACAGCTGGTGTAGTTATGTAGACATGGGTTTACAATTAAAAATTGCAAACCAAAAGCCAAACAAGCAAGCAGAACTTCCCAATCAGAAAACAAGCAAAGTTGTACTGCCGTGCTGCTGTCTGCGCAGCTCCCCCTCTCCCCGGGAAAATAAAGGGGAAAGCAAGCCCCCAGACTTCCCACGCTGGCTACCCAACCCCAGTTCTGAGGCTGTTGTGCCGGCTGGCAGTCCATCGACTCTGGCTCCAATCCTTGAGCAGTGTTGTGCCTTGTGGTGGTGTGCAAGCCAGGTGAAATTCCAAAAGTAATGGGGCTGCATGCGCCTAGAGTCACCTTCCCTAGGTGCCCCTGTGCAAAGTTTCCCTGTAAGTACTGAACTTGCAGTTTGGGAGTTACCTTCAACAAACTGTTCAAGGACTGCCTCCACAGGGTTCTTTTACTGCTTGGTGATTGACTGCCCTTGGGGTCAGCTGGGGTTTTTCCTACCACTGTTTGGCCTTGGGTAGAAGATAATGCACGGGCGCAAGGTACTGTGCAGCTACCTTATAATATGCATAACAGCCGGTTCTGTTCCTCCTGGAGACGTGCTTTAGTGGGGGTGTTTATTTTCTTTTCTTTTCTTTTGCTTGGGGGATTGCCTGATGTGGCTGTAGGACCACTTCCCCATTGGGGCTCACTGGTCCAATGGATGCATCTTCTGAGTCCCATTTCGCTTCATGCGAGTTTGAAGGTTGCTCTGTCCCCTTGTCTCAGGGTGACACTCACTGTTTTTGCCTCTGCCATGCTGCCAGTTGGGTCAATGACACCTTTGACCCGGAGTCTTGCAAGTGGTGTTCTTTGCTTGTACTCCAGTTCACCCAGTCCACTGCTATTGATATTCAGGTGCAGGCAGCTTCAGCATTGCATGTGAGGTTCAGGGTGCTGCAATGCACTAGGTTGGTTGCTTTTCCAGATGCCTCAAGGCTGCCCTGCTTTGGATATAGGGACCCGGACTTGGGGGCGTTAGTCACCTCGACTTTGGTTTTGTCAGCAACCCCTGGTCCTTTCCCTGCTGTAGTTCATTCAGCTCTCCCCCCCCCCCCTCTCCCATTCCTCCTGCCAGAGCTTTTGGGTCGTGCCAGCGGACCTCTTTCTTCCCTGCTTTTCTAGTGGACTCTGCCTTTTCTTCACAGGCAGCATGTTTGGAGAACGGATCTGCCCCAGGTCCTGACATAGAGGATCCCGGGGGCTGGGGAGGAGTTGACTTGGAGGGGTCTTAGGCCTCGTTTGACCCTGCGCGGGGGTTGGTACCCTCGACATGAGGTTTGTTGTTTGTTTGGTGAGGGGGTTTTCTTATCCTCCCCTCACTGTACGAGTTTTATACGAGTTCGGTTTCCTCCTGGGCTCGGTTCCGGGTTCCCTCTTTCCAGAGGTTTTTGGCTTCTTGCATCCCGCCGAGGGAGGTGTAGGCCATTGCGGCTTACCTCCTGCAAGACCCAGATCCTCAATGCGTGCTTATTCGCCTCTGTTTCCTCACAATGTCAGCCAGGTGCAGCTTCATGTGCAGGTTCCTCCCTTTCAGCGTCTCTGGTAGCTGAGGATTTGCACGCCCGTGAGCATTTAGCTTCTTTTCTCTGCTCCGGTGAGCAGGGAAAAGCAAACTCTTTGCATCAGCTTGGTGTAGGTGTCTTTCAGTATATGTGGCGCCCAGACTGAGGCTATCGGAGTCGATGCCTTTCAACTGGACTGGTTGGGGTTGGGGTTACCTGTTCTCTTCCCCCCCCCCCAGTTTGGTTGTTCCTCGAGGTCCTGGCTTGCTTGGAGATTTACTAGGGGGAGAGTAATCCTGTTGGCCCCTTGGTGGCCGGCCCAGCCTCGGTTTCAGTCGCTGCTTGCTCGGTGTCCGAACCCGAGGGATCTTCCCGCGGCTCTGCCTCTTTCAGCAGATCCGTCCGATCCAATACGTGGCTGATTTACAATCTTCGCGTCTAGTCTTTTTGACAAGGGTTTATCACCACCTGTATGATGAATACTATACCCTCGTATCATGCAGTGCTGGCAGAGCTGATTCAGCTTGAGTTGGGGGTGGATGTCACTTCTGCTCTGTTCCGCAAGCTCACTCAGGCGTTGTTTCACCTTCGGCCAGCTCATGCGCCACCTGAGTGGTCCAACACCACCTGGTCGTTGGACCGGGTGCTCTCCTTTCTCTCTTCTCCCCGGTTTGTGGTGTCCCCTTCTGTTAAGGATTGTTTGGCGAAGACTCTTCTTGTTGACATTGGCCTCTAGAGGTCGGGTCAGGGAGCGTTATGCTCTCCTCCGCCACGGGTTTCTGCTCTTTCTGTCCTGATGGTCGTTTTGTTCGTCTACAGCCTCCTCGTTTTCTGCTGAAGAATGAGACTGCTGCTTTCCAGAGGGGTCCCTTGGGTTGTTGATACTTGGTTCAGCCTGGGGTGCATCATGTTTTGTGTCCAGTTGCAGCTCTTCGGCGTTACTTGCACACCACGGCCTCAGTGGCAGTGAACGCACTTTGGGTTGACCCGATTTCCCTTCTTCCCTGTTCCAGGGCGCGGATCTCTCAGGTCGTTTGCTAGATTATACGGTCCAGCCCGCCTGCAGTCTTTCCACATGCCCATGCCATTCACAAGTTCATTCACAAATTCAGCAGTTTTGGCTGCTGTTTTTGGTAATTTGACCTGGACTGATATTCGGGCACGGGGCTTTAGGAGATCGAAATGGGTCCTGGCCACATGGTTACCTCGTTAATGTTCCTGGCCCTTCTAGAGCATGTGTAGCCTTGAGTCACAGGTTGCAGCCAGTTGTCTCGCCTTCGTGTTGAGGAGCTAGTGGCGGCCACCTCTTGGGCGAGTCCTTCTTTTACCTTTATTTTTCGTTAGGTAGCTCCGGGGAGCCGAAGGGACTCGCCAAAGAAAACCAGTGTTGAATGTAATGAAACGCCATTTTCTGACGAGATTTGGAGGCTCCCCAGCATCCTTCCTTCCCATTTTTTTTTTTTTTTAAATATATTCAGCCTCTGAACTGGGATTGGGTAGCTGGGGTGGGAAATATGGGGCTCCCCATTCCCCCTCCCAGGGAGGGGGGGAGCTGTGCAGACAGCAGCACGGTGGCTGTGATGACATTATGCTTGCTTGTTTGTTTTCTGATGAGAGTTTTCTGCCTGCTCATTCAGCTTTTGGTTTGCCATTTTTAACCAGCTGTAGTTTGTTTTGAGATTCCTACCTTTCTGGGTCCTAGACCTGGTAGATGGCAGACAGACTGCTTCCAACTACATGGGAGGCATCTATAGGCCATTGCTCCTCGTGCTTCTCTGGGGAGGCCAGGTTCTGGCTCGTGGTCCCCAGTAAGCTAAGAACTCCATTGATTGACTGTTGCCAAGGTACATATATACACATCAATCTGGTACAGCTCCAGGGAGCCTTCGGGTCTCACCCAGAAAATGGCATTTCATTACATTCAACACTTTTTTTTTTAGCCTGAGTACGCATACGAGCGAAAAGCAACAATTTGTAAGAGGATGGGTTGCAATAACAATTACGGTATCAGTAAAACATTTGTTTCAAAGGACATGGTGTATATGAGAACTAAGGAATGAAGTATAAAAATAGTTAAATGCAATATCAGAAGACACATCAAAAGCATGAGATCACAAAAATAACAAAGTGGACCTGGAAAGTAATAGAATAGCTTTTCTGCCATCAGTCTACTGATGTAGACTGATCAAGAGGAAAGAAAGGATACTAAACCTTTCAAGAAGACACAATAAAGGCATCAACAGACTCCCATGCAAACCCCATTCACCGAATAGTGAAAAGTGTTAATGAATTGAGTGGCTTACCATTTGAACGTCATTTAGTAGAGACTGAGGTTCAGAGCCAACAAGGACCTTAGAACAAATGAAATCTACCAAGGTTGGCTCCGGCTCTCCGATATATTCAATGATCTTCTTGTTTATCCAAGGCCGGATTCTCTTCTCCATCAGTACCTGCAATATTAATTCTAGCATTATGCACAACAGAATAGCACTAGTTAAGCTACAATACTGAAAGTGAAAATAATAATATACAATACATTACACACACACACACGCTTCTTCAAAGATGTGTTCCTTAAAAAAAGACTTTCAAACCAAACCTGCAGTGTACTGTTTTTGTTCAAGGGCCTTCAGTATGAAGTATGACGCACTTCAGGTCAAGAAATTTATTGCAAAACTAGGTATGTACAGATTCTAGATAATGTGGGAATAATGGGTGTGTGAATGTGTGTTTATATGGCAGTGGAACAGGCAAACGGAAAGTGAAGTTGGTGCAAGAGCGCGGTGTCGGGGGCGCTGGAGCAGAGCGCGGTGTCGGGGGCACTGGAGCAGAGCGCGGTGTCGGGGGCGCTGGAGCAGAGCGCAGTGTCAGGGGCGCTGGAGCAGAGCGCAGTGTCAGGGGTGCCGGAGCAAAGCGCGGTCTCTGGCAAAGGGAAACAAACAAAACAAGGACCCAAAACCTGTATTACAAATGGGGCACCTGTAAAGATGGGATATCGGGAAGAACAAATTGAACATGTAAGTACAATCAACCAAGAAAGTGCAGAAACTTCCTTAGTACGGGTAAATGTACCAAAAGCTGTAAATTCTTTCACCCAGTAATTTGCAAGAACTCTTTAGACAGGAAAGAATGCTTCAATATGGAATGTCCAGCTTTTCATACAAGAGTTACCAGGCGAATAAAACCGAGACCGCCACTATGAAATCAGCCACAAATCGACCAGGATAATTTTTTTAGCAAGGGAAAGAGGAGAAGAATGGCTAAAAATGTCCAGACCCTACCACCATCTCGGTCAAATGCTAGAGAGGACGCAAACACAGTGGCCTCCCTACCAGAGCCTCAGATATTAACACCAAGTAATGCATCCAGCACTGCCACAAACACTATAACATCATTTATATTTGCCAACATCCAGGGTATAAAAACACACAAATCTAACAAAGTTCCTTTTATAGATGGCCTCCTACATAGGCAAATGCAGTGTTTGCAACCCTAACAGAAACCCACGCAAAAGACTACCATAATGGTGAAATATGTATCTCGGAGTACAATCTTTTCAGATGTGACAGGAAACAGACTATAGGGTGGGATCAAAATGTACATCAAAGACACATTCATCTGTACTGAGCTGCAAAACACCACAAACAATATGGTTGAAGTGCTGATAATCAAATTAGAGATCCTAAATGTAGTTATTGTCCTTGTATACATGTCACTGGTGGCAAATCATCAGCAGTTTAAAGAGCAACTAATGAAAATAGAACACTGCTTAGAAAACCTCACAAATCCAGCCACAAACTTCATCCTGCTTGGGGACTTCAACCTACGGCACCTGAAATGAAAGTACCTATCTTGAGATTTTGCGGTTAAATCGAGATGATTTCGGGGCTTAGTGTTCCCGCGGCCCGGTTCTCAGCCAGGCCTCCACTTCTAGGAAGCAGCCCGTGACAGCTGACTATCTCCCAAGTACCTATTTACTGCTAGGTAACAGGGGCATCAGGGTGAAAGAAACTGTCCATTGTTTCTCGCCGGCGCCCGGGATCAAACCCGGGACCACAGGATCACGCGTCCAGTGTTAAATCCGCTCAGCCTAGCTAATACAGTTATATCAGAAAGAATACCAAGAAGTAGTCTAAATAAACAGGCAAATGCAAATGACTTGCTATGGATATGTGACAGATTTGCCTTAAACCAGCAAATTAGTTGAACCAACCAGAAGAGAGCATGTTAGATCACAACCAGTCCCGAGCCCCAGGGGAGGAGAATTCAGCAAATTCAATTTCATTAATAAACGAATTAATTGGGAGCAAATAAACCAAGACCTCACAGAAATAAGCCCACGGAAATAAGTCCGTGCGTCCACGGACACAGAAGTCGTGGCTCGCAAATAACAGCAGAGCAGCAACCGGACACAAAACATGAAGCACACCCTGCCTAACCAACCAAGCATCAACAACCCAGAGACCCCTCCGGAAAGCAGCAGTCTCATTCTTTGCCAGAAAAGAAGAAGGCTGCAGATGAACAAACCGATCACCTGGACCGAAGGAGCACAAACCTCTGCGCCGGAGGAGAGCATGAAGCTCATCTATCCGACTCCCAGAGGCCAATGCCAACAGGAAAAGAGCTTTCGAAAAACAATCCGGAACCGAAGGGGCCACAACAAATCGAGTTGAAGAAAGAAAAGAGAGCACTATCCAATGACCAGGATGGCTCAGGCGACGCATGAGCAGGCCAGGAGGTGAAACAACGTCCGAGACAGCTTGCGAAACGGCGCAGACGTGACATCAATATCGAAAGCAAGCCGAAGTGGCTCCGCCAGCACCGCACGATACGAGGCGACAGTGTTGGGCATAAGGAGACTGTCCTGGAACAACCAAGAGAGAGAGGACAACACCACCCTAACAGAAAGCGAAGTACAACGACGAAGATGTAAGAACCGGAAGGACCACCAGGAAACTTCATACTGCCGCCGAGATGAACCCCGCAGATGGGACATTAATAAGGAAGCCACCTGATCACGATAGAGATGATGATAAACTTGAGTCAAAAATCCTATATGCGACGACTCGAGAAGATCGAACCATCCACGTGACGTACCGGTCCGGTCTGCTAGAAGAGGCCGAGCCGCGGAAAAACCTCTGGGTTTGGACACCGAGCAAGCAGCGCATGAAACCACGGCTGGGATGGCCACCAAGGGGCCAAGAGAACAACTCTCCCTTGGTAAGTCTCCAAGCGAGTCAGGACCTGGAGCAACAGCTGAACCGGGGAAAAGAGGTACAGGAACCCCCACCTCGACCAGTTCTGCCAAAAGGCGTTGACCCCAACTGCCTCGCAGTCGGGAAAGGGCGCCACATACAGGGGAAGGCGCCCCGACCACGCCGACGCGAAGAGGTCCACCTCGGGGCGTCCGAACGTCTAGAAAAGCCAACGGAAGGAGTCGGCGTCGTCCATTCATTCCGTGGAGAGGGGAACAAAATGTGACAGGGTGTCGGCCAATACGTTGGACACTCCCCGCACGTGAACTGCCAAGAGAGCCAAACCCCGAGAACTCAGCAGACAAGTCACCGGAAGAGCCAAGGACCCCCCCCCCCCCCCCCCCGGTTCAGACAATGAACCACCAGGGAGCAGTCCGCAGGGAGCCGGATCGTCGACCCGCAGGCGACTCGAATCCTCCAAAGAGCCAACCACACCACTGCGAACTCCCACTGGGGAGACAGGACACCACGAGCATAGCTCTCATCCTGTAACTACACTTAGGTAATTACAGTGCTGTGGGCTCGATGGATGGAAGGACCCCACCGTCCCTGGCCGGCCTAGTGAGCACTGGTCACAAAGCCCCAGCCGAGAGATGACGCATCCGTGAACACATCGAGCGAGGGCTCTGGTAGGCACCAAGGCACCACACCCCAAAAAACCCAAAGAGGAAGCCGGCGACGCAGTAACAGACGCAAAACCCCCGGGGTCTGAACCCAGTGATCATAAGAGAGGCGGAAGGGACGTCCCCGAAGGAACCAGAACAGCCAACGAAGCCAAACCCGACCCAGCGGGTAGACCAACATCGCGAAGTTCAGGCTCCCGCACAGACCCTCGAGCAACCGCCGAGTGACCTGGGAGCCCCCCCCCCCAGAAACAGGCACATGCGGGACCGCAGCCGCAGAAGAGACTCCGGAGGAAGAGACAAGGAAGCGGTCCGAGAGTCGCACACAAGGCCCAGCCAGATCCGAACCTGGAAGGGAACCAGATGGGACTTCTTCCAGTTCACCAAGAACCGGAACCTCGGCGAGCAGAGAAAGAACCAGATCCCTGGCCAGCAGACTGGCTGGGAGCCCAAACCAGCCAGTCATCGAGGTAGGCCAACACTCGAACACCTAACAGACGCAGACGCTTGTGTAATTTACACAGATTTCGCAAAAGGCATCGACAAATGTGACCATGGTGTTATTGCACACAAAATGCGTGCAAAAGGAATTACCAGAAAAATAGGAAGATGGATCTACAATTTTCTGACTAATATAACTAAATGTATAATAGTCAACAAAATAAAATCCGAACCAACAACTGTGAAGAGCTCAGTCCCCCAGGGTACTGTGCTTGCTCCAGTACTTTTTCTCAACCTTGTATTAGACATAATAAAGGACAGAATCAATAGTACTGTATCATCCTTTGCAGATGACACTAGGATTTTTATGAGAGTAGACAATATAGAGCAACACAGCGAACCTCCAATCAGATGTAAATCAGGTCTTGCAATGGGCTACAGAAAATTATATGGTATTTAATGAAGGTAAGTTCCAGCTTTTGTGCTACGGAAAAATTTAAATATAAAAGCAGAAACCACATACAAAATGCAGCCAAATCATAACATAGAACGAAAAAGCAATGTAAAGGATTTGGGAGTACTCATGTCGGAAGACCTTACCTTTGAAGAACACAATAAAGTATCCGTCACAATGGCAAGAAAAATGACAGGTTGGATAATAACTTTTCAAATTAGAAATACTATACCAATGATGATACTCTTCAAGATGCTAGTGCTCTCTAGAGTGGAATACTGCTGCACAATGACAGCCTCTTTCAAAACTGGAGAAATTGCTGATCTGGAGAGCATGCAGAGATCCTTTACTGCTAGAATCTACTCAGTAAAACATCTAAACTATTGGGACTGACTGAAATGCCTAAATCTGTATTCTCTTCAGCACAGACGGGAGAGATACATAATAATTTACATGTGTGAAAATAGTAGAGAGGCTGGTCCCAAACTTGCACACAGATAACACCACTTGAGACAAGAAGGCATGGCAGGATGTGCAGAATACCCCCGTTGAAAAGCAAAAAAGCAGAGGTGCAATAGGTACTCTGAGAGTACCCTTCCACTACACATAAGTGGCATAACTGGCATAACTGGCCTCAACCCCCCCCCCCTCACAGTGTTCAAGAGAGAACTCGACAAGCACCTCCAAAGGATACCTGATCAACCAGGCTGTGACTCGTTCATCAGGCTGCAAGCAGCCACATCCAATAGCCTGGTTGACGACCGTGCAGCGGGGATGCTAAGCCCCGAAAACACCTCAGGTATGTTGAGTGAAGTGAAAATATATGCCTCTATACATTACTGCATTCAGAAAATCAACCTTTCTAAACTATTTTATCTTAAATAAAAATAGACAAACAAATAGTTTTTCTAAATACTGGAGCAATAATTAATAGCAAAATCTGAATCAAGCTTAATAAATGAGTGTGTTTGGGGGTGATAAAAAATGTGGCGATGAGCAAAAAACCTGTTAAAATGTGGGCTATCATACCATCTTATCTTTAGGTTACCTTGAGATGATTTCTGGGCTTATCCCCGCAGCCCGGTTCTTGACCTGGCCTCTTTTTTGTTACACACCCCCAGGAAGCAGCCCGTATTAGCTGTAAACTCTCAGGTATCTATTTACTGCTATGTAACAGGGACATCAGGGTGAAAGAAACATTTTGCCCATTCGTCTCCGCCTTCACCGGGGATCGAACCCGGAACCTCCGGACTACGAATCCGAAGCGCTGTCCACCCAGCTGTCAGGCGCCCATATTTACACAATAATTTTGCAAAATGTATGTTTACAACTACATTTGGGGTTTACTTTAAGTGCCTTTGTGATTATGTCACAAAGGCACTGAAAGGGTAGATTACTGAAAGTACCTTACCCTTATGTACCTATGAGGCACCCTTTCAGTACCTCATCAGGAGGTACTGAAAGTACACCAGATTGCAGATGCAGTATACATGCTACATCCAACAGCCTGGCTGACCAGTCCAGTATCGAGGAGGCCTGGTCGAGGACCAGGCCATAGGGACGCTAAGCCCAGAAACCATCTCAAGGTAAGGTAAATAAATTTTGCAAAATCATTTTATAAATGTGGTTACAGGAGCCGGTCGTCCGAGCGGACAGCACGCTGGACTTGTGATCCTGTGGTGCTGGGTTCGATCCCAGGCGCCGGTGAGAAACAATGGGCAGAGTTTCTTTCACCCTATACCCCTGTTACCTAGCAGTAAAATAGGTGCCTGGGTGTTAGTCAGCTGTCACGGGCTGCTTCCTGGGGGTGGAGGCCTGGTCGAGGACCGGGCCGCGGGGACACTAAAAATCCCCGAAATCATCTCAAGATAACCTCAAGATGGTGTGTGTAGGCCATAAATGGTTTTTCATCTCTTTTTAAATATGCATACCATCCTCAGATGTTTTATCCATGGTGGTACCATGATCCAGTACAAAAGTTGAAGGAGAATCTTTCTGCTCTAAAGCTGTTTAGACCTTGGTTATATAGCTCATTCTTTTCCACAATACCAGTAAAGTATGTTTGCTTCTCAACTCTCTGCAATGTTAGTGTGACCAGTCAGTAATGTTTTGCCATTACTTTACATCACTTTTGAAGTGGAGCTATGTCAGTAGCTTTCAAGATCTACATCATGTTACAAGTGTTGGTCAACCACGATGTTCTACATCAGGCTGTGGCTGCCCACAGCCTGGCGTACGACTCGCAGCCTGGTTGATCAGTGTTTCAGTTTCACGCCAATATTGCACAATAAGTCTTTATCAAGATATTTCAGCCATACTATACATTTTTGCTTAAACGTGTTTAAGTCTCGTGTCAATTCAATGAAGAGTTAGACACATTGAGAGAAAAACGAAAGAACAAATGTGCCAAAACCCCAAGATATCCCCTACTGGTAACACCTAATTCCCCTTGAATGTGCCTTGATCTTACAGTACTCGGTACTCACATTATCAACAAGGGTCGAGTCGATGGGGTATGCAAAGAGTTCTTCCTTACTGGTCGGGATCTTATCAATCATACTCTTGATATGTTTACGCTTCTCTTCTCCGCCACCCTTCTCTTTGCTTCCCTTATCCTTGCCTTTAGTAACAAAAAAGAAGTATGTTATTTAACAAAAATAATTTTTTTTATATCATATGTGTCATGTTTCAAATCTTTTCAAGTTCCTATTTATGTCATTCACAAGTAATTTTCAACTTAGGGAAAAACACACTGATAAATATTTTATTACCTGGTTCTATAGAATTTCTTAGCAACTTCTGCAAGGGATCTTCCTTTGCACTCAAAGTTCGTTCTATAAAGGAAATTAGATTTTGAACATAAGAATGATATATACTGTAGAGGGCCTCATATGAGGCAGCTCCTATTTATATCCACTCAAACTCGTTCACATATATGCTTAACATGCACCTGAGACAACCCAGCAATCTTATGTCTTTTGTGTTACCTGCTAATTTATTCCATAAATCCGTTATCTTATTTCCACACCAGTATTAATACCGGTTATGTCCAATATATACATTAATGTACACTATATATTACAGGATGGCTGGTTCTGGACCTCTCAATGTATCTACATATTTGCTGTGTATACAAATACACTGACTATCACATTTTTTTTATACATGAAACATTTACAGTGATTCTGGTGTAATGATTTTATGCTGAATTCAAATCTGCAATCAAAATTTTTCTATCACCCACAGTTTTTTGGTGACAATCTTTTTGTAATTACAACATTCTGTTATTAAATTCATTGGAATTTTATCAATAATAGTATATACTATAGAGTTTTCCTTCTAATCACTACATAGTGTATTTTGCATCTATAGAAATAAGGGACTCAGCCACAGTTATGATAGCATCGTTGTGAGTGCATCATGACATGAACCACAATGTCTGCTCACTCCATTTCCCAAGCAAAATATACAGGAAGTTATCAAAATTACCATTTAGTAATTTTGTTTTAATGTAAAATGTTGGTAATATATATGTAAATATATGATTTTTCAAAATTAACCCCTTGAATCACTAAAAAGCTTTGCAAGATACAAAAAACACTAATATGATAATACTGTACAGTATATTTGAGTTCAGCATGAAAAATAATATTTAAATCATATATTATTCTATTTGAGAAAAATATAAATTATTTTTTAAACCACTGTTATTTGTTAAATTTGTGGGCGTTTATTTATGCGAATGATAGAACAAATAATTCCACAAGAGAAAACTTCCACCCTCCCCTTAAGGTTTAATAAGCAATACAGATAGAAGAAAAAGTACATCATAAAAACTGATATTTACCTGGCAAAGGGAGTTTCTTCTTTTTTGATGGGATGTCATCATCATCTTGGTTAAAAACATCTTTCACGTCATATTTCTTTCTCTTTGGTGGTTGAGGTGTAGTGTCCTCAGATGACAACATAAATGCATCTGAAAAAATCCAAACAGATTATTCCTGAAACTAGCATGACTATGTAAATGACAAAACATTAAAATGTACAAACAATGTAGAACTGACATCAGCTTCTCTGTAGGCTTTTCTTACAATTTAAAAGTAACCTCAAGGCATTTCACAAGTACATGTAACTACTGCCCTCCCAACATACCTCTGGATTGAGAGTTTTCCTCCATATCTGGCATAGGCTCAGGAGGGGCATCAGACATGTGTCCATCAGAGTCAGATTCTGATTCTGCTTCAGTGATGGGAAGTGGAGGCTGCTCTGGGATCTCTGGCAGTTCTGGCGGAGGCTCTGCTGGAACAGGAGCAGGTGGTGGGGGTTTTCGCTCTGCAGGCTTAACCAGCAACTTGGGTTTGTACTGCTCCTCTCTCTCTGCACATGCCTGAAAATACAACACACATTTCAATGATACATTACTTTTATCCCATTTCCCACTTTTACTTACTTAGTTAGCATGGGCTGAAATAATGCCTAACATCAACAAAATATTTGTCCATGTTCCAAATTGTAGCCGTAGTGTTCTTTAACTAGCGGTTACCATTCATACATGTTACAAATTGGTTACAACCTAACATCATTACATCTAGGTAACTCATCTTCAAACATATTTTAGCACGAAAGTTCACTTTAAACCCATACAGTTAACTACTGACACTGGAGTAAAATTTTTAAGGTAACACAAGTTTTATTCAAATTTAAAACAAAGCAAACTACATAAAAATATAAAAGCATTCAGCAAAATTGATAAAAATGCCAAAACAAACTTATAAATGAATTGAGCAAAATACAAATATCATAAAAATCTGCCACCAACCTTCTGAAAAGCTGCATCAGGATTGTCATGACCTTCAGCTAAGATTTTGGTTCTTAGTTCTTCTAGTTCCTCTTTTTCTTTGACACGATCTCGTGTATCCATCTCCTTCTCCTGCTCACGTTCCACCAACCTTCTTTGGAATGCATGTCCCCTAGTTTTGCAAAAAACAAACCAGTTAAAAGAGCAAATAATAGTTTTGCTGAAGGTAATTTGGATAGTCTTCGAAACCTATCTTATCTCTGTGAAATCAGAAGCCCATTTGCAGGCGATGAGTCACAATAATGTGGCTGAAGTATGTTGACCAGACCACACACTAGACGGTGAAGGGACGACGACGTTTCGAGAATGGTCCAGGACGGACCGAAACATCGTCGTCCCTTCACCTTCTAGTGTGTGGTCTGGTCATCATCAGAAGCCCATATCCTGTTATCACTACCTTAAATTTTTTATATATCCCTATTAAAATTTTTGGGTACGGAAGCTGATTAAATTACACAATATATATATATATATACAGTATAGTGAGGGATATAGAGTGGAGTATGAGAGAAGCAGCAGCAGCAGGATGCGACATCCTGCATATCCACATCTACAGGGGCCTGAAAGCTGAGTAGACAGCGCTCTGGACTCTTAATTTTAGGGTCCAGGTTCAATCCCCGGTGATGACAGAACAAATGGACAGTTTCTTTCACCCTAATGCCCCTGTTACCTAGCAGTAAATAGGTACCTGGGAGTTAGACAGCTGTTATGAGCTGCTTCCTGGGGCCAGGGGACAAAAAAAATTAGTTAGTAGTAGTTAGTAACAGTTGATTGATTGACAGTCGAGAGGCGGGCCGAAAGAGCTGAGCTTAACCCCCATAAACACAACTAGGTGAATACAGAAGAGGAAAGACTAAAAAATGGATCACCTTTTCCCCTGTTTATGAAATTGGTTTAGTGTTTCTTTATTGTAGTTGTAGTACTATGGATTACATTCTTCTGGCAGTTTGCACAAAAAAACAAAACATATATTCTTACATAAACAATTAAATATGGCAAAGTAAACAATACCTAAATCTAGTGCTCATTAAATATTAAATATTTACAAAAATTTCACTCCACCTTGCAGGTGACAACATACTTACTTATAGTACTTAGGGTCGTCTCTTTCATCGTCATAATCTTCCAAAAACTCCTTTAATCTTTTGGCTTCCTTTTCTCTTTCTAGCTCTTTTAGTCTATCTTTTTCCTTCTCCCGGTCCAATTCCTTCTGTTTCTTGTGCTCGCGAGTCTCCCAATTTTTTAACCTTTCCTGTGAACATCAAATACGTTTGAACTAATCTAAGGCCTTCAGGAAAAATATATTCATTGACATTTACCAAAGTCACCATTTTAAAATGAAGTAAGCTGGTAATAATTTGCTAAGAATTAGTACAGTTAAATCAATAATACCTGCACAACTCACATAAGAGAGGGGTTCTCGGGGCTCAAGCAAAGAAACATTTTACATTAGCAGAAAATTAATAGAATAAAGAAAGCAGCATTGAATGTAATGAAATGCCATCTTGTGGGTAGCCCCCCGGAGGCTCCCTGGAGCTCATACTAGCTATATTAGTCTGGGGCTTCAGTCTTACGGAATTCGAGCCTACCGAGGATCACGAGCCAGAATCTGGTGCCCCTCAGAGAGGCGTAGAGAATATGGCCAATGAAACTCTTGTATGAAAGTATTCATGTCTGCCATCAACCGGGGTTAGACACCCAGAAAAGAAGGCGCCCCAAAACAGACCCCTCCTGGTAGAAAATTGCAACCTGAGACCAAACAAAGGCTATAAACTCCCAAGGAAAACAAGCTAAGTAACATGTCATCACACCACGCGCTACTCTTTCATGCCAACCTCCCTTCCCCTCCAGGAAAAGGAGGGGAGGTCGGGTCCCAGCCCACCGAAACGGCCGCTGGACCGTTAGTTCAGAGACTGAGAAATGAAAACAAAACTGCCGACCGGAGGGATTGGTGCCAGGGAGCCTCCGGGGCTCTACCCAGAAAGTGGAGTTTCATTACATTCAACGCTTGTTTTCTGTGTGAAGTCCTGTTGGCTCCCTGGAGCTAGCTACCCAAAAAGCAGGAAAATGAGGGACCTACACGGGAGGCAGCCGCACCGCATAACTCGTGGTGAAGACGAGACAACTGGCTGCAACCACCAATACAGGGCAACACAAGACCGCTGAGGACCTAGCACATTAACAAGATATCGGACAGCTAGGACCCTGTTCGAGCTCCAAAACGCCCCGTGCCTGAATGTCATCCCAAGACATATCCTCAAACACAGCAGCTAAAGCTGCCAACTTACGAACATCATGGGCGCGAGGGTAGACAGCAGGCTGGCTAGACCAAAGTAATGCCCCTTAATAACACGGCTGATGACCTGAGAGACCCGTGCCCAGGAACAGGGAATGAAGGATACCGGGTCAGCCCACAGCACGTCCCTGGACACACAAGTCGAGGTGTCGAGGTACAGAGGTAAAGGCATAAAGCCTCAACCAGACGCAACACATAATGCACCCCTGGTTTAACCAACCAAGCATCAATAACCCACAGACTCCTTCGAAAGCCCTTCATCTTATTCTTTGCCAGAAAAGAAGATGATGGGCTGCAAACGAACAAAACGTCTACACGGACCAAAAGAGAAGCCTCTCTGCCAGAGGAGAGCAAAAAGCCAAAACCAACAAAAATAAAGCTTTCTGAAGACAATCACAGACCGAACGGACCACCACAAACGTAGAAAGAGAAAAGAGAGCACCTGGGCCAAAGACCTGGTTGGCTCAGGCAGAGTGCAAGCAGGTCAGAAGTGGAAAAACACACGATAAAGCTCAATAAACGAAGTAGAGTGTACATCCACCCCGAACACAAGCTGGAGCGGCTCCACCAGCACCACAAGATAGAAGGAGACGGTATTCTGCATAAGATACCCATCCAGAAAAAGCTAAGAAAGAAAAAACAAAACAAACTGATCCAAAACAGAAGACAATTTACGCAGGGAAAGGAAGAGGTGAAAAGACCAACAAGAGACTTCATGCTGTCACCGAGAGAAGACCTCAGGTGGGACACCATGAGAGAAGCCACCTGGTCACCATACAGATGGTGATACACCCGCATCAGAAACTCCAGACATGAAGAGCGGAAGAGTAGAGCGAACCAGCAAGGTACCTCACCGGCCCGATCTGCTGAAAGAGAGGGAGCCGCAGAGAAATGCCCTAGGTTCGAACACCGTGCAAGCAGCACCAGACATCAAGGCTGGGCAGGTCACCATGGGGCCAGAAGGGGAACCCTCCCCCGATAGGACTCAAGCCGAGCCAGAACCCGAAGCTACAGCTGAACCGGGGGAAAGAGGTACAGGTAACCCCACCCAGACCAGTCCTGCCAAAAAGCATTTACTGCAACAGTTCGCAGTCGGAGAAGCGTGCCAGACGCTGCAACCACACTGACGCAAAAACGTCCATGTCCAGGGGCCCAAACGCCTGCAGGGCAGAGCCAACTGAATGAGTCAGCATCGATCGTCCATTCCGTGGACAGGGGAGTGAATCGCAACAAGCTATCCACTAGGACGTTGGACACACCTATGATATAAACTGCACAGAAAACTAAAACCTGAGAACTCAGCAGAAGAGCCACTCGAAGCGACCAACTCCAATAGGGCAAGGCCGCAGAGACCCTCCGCGGTGTAGGCAATGAACCACCGGAGTGCAGTCCGAATGGAGCCGAATCGTAAAGCCTCGAGGGAGACGGGATCCAACACAGCACAAACCACACCACCGTGAACCACCGCATGGTGGTGTTGTGAGCCTGATAGAAGGACGGAGCCCACCGCCCCTGCCCGGCCTGGTGAGCACACGTCACATAGCCCCAGCCGAGAGAGGAGGCATCCGTGAACACATTGAGGCAGGGCGCCAAGGCATCAAACCCTGAAAAGCCCATAGAGGAAGCTGGATATGCAACAAGGCCTCCCCCCCCCCCAGGAAAAGAACCCAGCTATCACGAGAGCGGCGGAAGGGATGGCCCCAAAGAAATGCCGCAGCCAAACCTGACCCAGCGGCAGACGATCACAGTGAAGTTCAGACTTCCACACAGCTGCTCGAGCAGCCACCGATGGACTAGGGATCCCTCTCAGAAACAGCAGACGGTGTGACTGCAGCAGGAGAACGGTGCCTGAGAGATAGACAAGGACACAGTCCGGGGGGGAATCCCAGACAAGGCCCAGCCAAGTCCAAACCTGAGACAGAACCAACCAGGACATTCACCAACTACAGTACTAGGAACCCAAACTAGTCAAGCCGGAAAAGAACGAGAACCTGGCCAAGCAGAGCTGCCAACCAGACGGGCGCCCACACCAGCCAGCCATCGAGGCAGGCTGCCAACCAGAAAAATGTCGGAACAGAGGATCGCAACCGATTAGTGAAAAAGGAACTTAACTCAAAATCTGGACCCAAAACAGAATCGGGTACACACAGAAATTACAATAGCTTGATATATCAAATGAACAAATCCACAAGGGCCGTGATGAGGGTTTGAACCTACGCACGGGATGTTCCCAGCCGCGCCTTAGTCAACTGTACCACGACAGGGTTAAAAGAATTGCAACCTGGAGTGCTAATGCCCTCACTAGAATCCCGAAGCTTCTCCGAAGCCCATTAGGGGTTTCACACAATTCCCCCATGCACCCGGGTTGTCAACCAAATGTTCTACCTCTACACTCTTACTTCAATACACACAGAAATCACAATAACATTGTGTTAAAAGAACAATAGTCCTTTTAACCAAGTTGTGGCACAGTTGACAAAAGCGCAGCTGAGAACATCCAGTGTATAAGTTTGAACCCTCATTATGGCCCTTGTGGATTTGTTCATTTGATATATCACACTATTGTAATTTGTGTGTGTGTAGTGAAGTAAGGGCGTAGAGGTAGAATATTTGGTAGACCATCCATCCATCCAGTTCCCCCCCACCATCCATCCAGTCCCCCTCCACCACCCATCCAGTCCCCCTCCACCACTCATCCAGTCTCCCCCCCCACCATCCATCCATCCAGTCCCCCCTCCACCATCCATCCATCCATCCAGTCTCCCCCCTCCACCATCCATCCATCCATCCAGTCCCCTCACCATCCATCCTGTTGTCCTCCCAAATACGTACAATATTCAAGCGCGATTGTCACTAGGTGGGCGACACTGGTAAACTGAAGCACACCTCGCCCATGCCACCAGGAACCACGTGCTCCGTCGACCCATACGTGTATCAACAAAGTCAAAGGCAAGGCAAAGGTAACCCGATTCGAATTTTCCGAAAAAATTGAGTTCGTAACCCGAGAAATTTGTAAAGTTGGACATTCGCTACCAGAGGCTCCACTGTTTTTTCATACAAGAGCGTTTCATAGGCCATTGCTCCCTGTGCCTCTCTGAGAGGGACCAAGTTCTGGCTCGTGGTCCTCGGTAGGCTCGAACTCCGTAAGACTCAAGCCCCAGACTAATATAGCTAATATTACTACATTAGTTATACTGTACACTATTATATTATTAACGCTAATATAGCTAATATTAATAAGCCGACAGGACTCCCCATAGATAATTCTATTTAATCTCTTTCTACAACATTCATTATGAAACCCTAATTGTTTTTAGCTACAAACTTGTAACATTCCCAGTATGAAAAGTGAAACTAAGCAAATAGCAAAATAAAAGACATTGTGCACCACATGTGACACCTTCACTGTGGGAATTTGCCTTCTTGGAGAGGGCAACCTCATCTGGCACCTTCCTAAAGTTTACACCCTTTACACCCTCCCAATGATAAAGACCTCTGAAGGAGACATTTGCAGGTGCTGGCAAATTGTGTCAATAACTACAGAAGTGGAATACATGCCAACTGCCTGCACTTAAGAAACTGCCAGTGTGAAAAGAATAGTGCGCGCCTCAAGACACCTAGCAAGAGGGTAAAGGAGTAATGTGAGGAAAAGTACTGATCAACTTGCCAGTGGATGTGGGGAAAATGTGGCACTAGGTAGTTGTTTAAAAGCATGCTAAAGAGCCCCCACAAATAAAAAAGCAAAAATTTTTTACCTGATACTGTAATTCTTTTTTGCGAACTTTTCTCTCCTGTTCTTTTCGTTCCTTGTCTTCTGCTTCTTCTTCCCTCTCTCGCAACACATCTCTTTCACTTTTGCGTAATGGTGATGGTGATCTGCAGATTAATTCATACAATAGTTTTTACATACTTAAAATTTTTAGATTTAAAGTTAAGTATACTACTTCAGCCCCTCATTACCACCTTACATATAAAAATGAAAGTAACATTTACTGCCCAAGTCATTATAAATCAATACGATTGTCTGTTGCTACACAACTTGTTCTCTCACACTCCTACCAGCGTCACTACAGCTTTCCTCGTGGTGACACTTCACAGCAATCTCTATTCACTTCCCATTCAACATTTTCAGAGGCATGTCACACATTTAGTAATGCAAAAAATGTAACAAAGGATCCTTCTATAAAAGAAGTCATGAAATTTGGAGGTTACAACCATTAATAGCCAGATCATATGCTATCTTCACTAAAAGATTTCTTACAATTAAGTCATGGCTAATATAATTAGTCAAAGAATTCTTATTACCTTTATACAGTATTGTACTTGGCTTAGAGCAGGTAATTTTGATATTCAACATTGAAAAGACATGTAAACTGTAGGACTTTAGCAAAGATTTGAACAAACTGCACTGAGTCGACAAGTGCTCAAACTGGGTACATTCGGACCTTAGTTGATCGAGATAGGTACCCTCTTGCCGTTGTATCTCGGGAAATAAAGTGGTGTAATAAGCAAGGGAGGTGCAGCTGTTACAGGTACTACAGCAAACAGAATATAAAATGGCTACAGGTGGTATGAATTTAGGCTGGAATAATGAGCACAGCCTGCATTCAGAAGGTAGGAACAGGAAGTATTGTGGTAGTGAAGTTTCAATGTGGCACTGTGGTGTGGTGGCACTGTGGAGCTTACCTGGGTCTACAGGAAGCAAGAATTAGCTCTGGAGTCCTGCATTCAAGCCATTATTCATGGTTCTTTGGTAATTTTTTATAAATTAAGTTTGATTCAAGGTCAATCATGCTTGCCCTTGATGTTATGAATGTTGGTATCTGTACCTTCCATGACTGAGCTTCAAGTGAATTCCATTTATTTACCACATGAACTGAAGGATTTTTTTTTTTTGTTTGGCTTTCCATTGACTGATTTGTGTAAAAAGAAAAAATTCAACCTAATCACTAGAAGAGAAAGACAAAATTAAATAATCACAATATTAAAGGTACCAAGAGGAATGGAAGTGGTTATTTTATTTCTTTTGGCAACTTTAACATTGACTATATCATCTCTGGTCTGGCTATCTCCTAGTGATTAGCTCCTCTCAATCTGTATTAATAACTGGACTACTATTGCTGGTACTAACATCAGAACAAGTCTCAATTTTCTGCCTCCTTTTGTTCTTACAAGGCTGGGATTCCATATTAGCTTTGCATAGCCTATTCTAGGGCTGGTCCTACTTAAGCTATGTTTGAATAGGTTTTTAAATGCCACTCATGTTGATAAATTTTTCATTTTGTGTCATTTTTATTCCAGTGGAGTTAACCTTCGGATAATGCCACAAGGTACTAGCAACATTTTTGTGCACAAGCTTCCCCTATTAATGTACACTTATAGCCATTGAACACATGAAAGAATAGAAGCAGTAGTCAGCTTATTTATGGTTATTTCGAAGGTCAACAGAGGTCTCTGGTGCTGAATAAAGTAGTGCTTAAAAATCCCACTCTCAGTGCTCGTAGAGCTTCTGTAGACAATGCACAATGGATGACCTTCCACAACTTCCGAATGCTTGAAAGACGTGGATATTATACACACTAGAGAATATCAGTGCAAAAGTGATAAGCGATGATATAAATCACTTTTCAAAAATGTGGTCTGTAAATGGATGAAAAGTTACAGCATAAGCAGTATAGTGGGTAAGAGGGAGGGGCATAAGCAGTATAGTGGGTAAGAGGGAGGGGCATAAGCAGTATAGTGGGTAAGAGGGAGGGGCATGTGGAGAGGCAGGATTGGGGGTGAGCGAATATGTATCTGTGAGGGAAAAGGTTAAGTGGGAAAGTAACACATGGCACAAGTAACTACTGTATCACATCTGCTGCTGTGAGTGGGTGACTGACTATTCTTGGAATTATCAGACAATGAGAGGAACAATGTGGACGGCATTGGAATTAACGCCACTGAGAACCAGCAACTAACTAGACGACTGGCTGTTCAAATAGTGAACCTGCAGCACATCATGCCTCAACCTCAGCTCAGAATGATCAACTCGTAAATGAGTAATTTTGGCATAGGTGTTACATGTGGCCCTCAATTTGCACTGGGGGTTGCATTCCTGAAAATCATTTACTAGCATCACCATATCCCACTTCTCCTTCCAGTGGAGAAGCAACACCCATGAGGAAAAAAAAAGAAAAAAGATATTTCCTTAGGATGAAGAAATATGGAAAAACAAATTGTGAGTGAGAAAGTTAATTGTGGGTGAGTGAGAAAGTGAGACTGACTGCACCACACAGCATTGGGAGAAGACGGTGCAAACCAAATTAAAATATACTTGGAAAAATAGGGTTAGGCTCTCGAGATCTCCAAAAGCCGTTTTCCACTATGGTCAATAAAATTACCAGCTGAACATTAATATGTAATGCTTCCTCCACTTTCTTGCCAGAAATTCAGTATCTTTTATATTATATATTTTTTTATATTTTGGGATTGAACCAGTGAAGAGCATAGGTGCCATAGGCACAATCAGAGAACACTGTATAAACATCAGAGGTCCGCGGTTGTTCAACGTCCTCCCAGCGACTATAAGAAATATTGCCGGAACAACCATGGACATCTTCAAGAGAAAACTGGACTGTTTTCTAAGAGAAGTTCTGGATCAGTCAGGCGGTGGTGGGTATGTGGGCCTGCGGGCTGCCCCAAGCAACAAGCCTGGTAAACCAGCCTGGTAAACCAAACTCTCAAGTCGAGCCTGGCCTCAGGCCGGGCTTGGGAAGTAGAAGAACTCCCAGAACCCCATCAAGCAGGTATCATCCAGAATGCTTCAGATGTACAATGATGCAAGACAATAATCCAAAAGCTAATGAAACAAGAAATATGGCATGTATGGGTGCCCATTAAACTGGCAATAATGCAGCAACACTGTGGATTGGTGCGGATTAGCCACATTAATTTACAATAAACCCGTATCAACGAAGTTCACTCGTGCATTTCGAAACCTGGTTAAAAAAAAAATTGCTTACCCGTGTACCACCGAATCCGTGTTCTCCAAAATCGTGTTAATCAAGGGCCGCCTGTATAGGTTGAAAAAAAATTGTTTAGTTCAACAATATTTATAGTTTAGGTACTAATAAATTATACATTGTGTTAAATGTGGGAAAACACGTGTGAAAATGTATGAACACCCACAAACATTCACGTGTACCTATGCAAAGTGCAGCAGAAAATAGACAGTGATTTTTGGAGCACCTGGAAAGGATAAAATCTGTGAGAACATGGATTAACCCTTAAACCACGCAAAACATACATATACGATGGGAGTAACTGTCACGAAACTGCACAATACATACATACAGTATACCATTGAGGGTATAGCGCACGGTTTTAAATGCCCGGCGAGGAATAGGGGCAGCTATAGTCCAGCCAAGGCCGATAGTAAACAAACGCGATCTTGAAAAAAAAATCGTGGGTAACATATCCAGGTGTGAGAGCCTCAGTACTGAGTGAGCAACCAAGGCTGGGGCACACAGCATGAGCTAACAGCACTGTTGTTCAGTTTGTGAACACAGCATCACGTGAAAATATAACAATATATATGAACCTGCTATTATTAAATAATGATAGTATTAGAGAAGACTCCTGACTGATAAAAATGACCAGGATTCTAATAATAGCAGGATTGTTGTGATATTTAGTGCTGTGCTCTATGGTGGGAGGAGTAATGCTGAGGGAGGGAGGGAGGAAGATGGTGTTGTCTTTTGACTCTGTGTGGCCACCTTTTATTGACTGGACTTACCATACCAACTTAGTGCTTTGCTACTGTGAACACAGATATAGATTCTTATATATAATGTGTGTGTATAGAATATAATAACAGCAATAGAGTATGTTGGGAGCCGCCATTTTGGTGAAGGAGGAGAGTTGTCTGCATGACATGTCAGGTTGTGTACTGGTGGCCACTATGGTCTTTGGGCACCATACCAGCTTATTTGGACAGTTATGTTAAATAAAACATGTAGATACCTATATATAATGTGTGTGTGTGTATATAGTGTAATAACACCACAAACAGTATTGTTGGAGGAGAAATATTAGTGTCTGTCCTTAAACCAGTGAGAGCGGCAGCCACCAGCTGACTGCGTGTGTAGCTACGTCTATTTCCTGAACTCACTATACCAGCATAGATTTACAGTTGTGGTGAACAAAACATGTAGATACTTATATATAATGTCTGCATATATAGTGAACAAAAGCAAAAATAGTATGGTGGGGAGGAGAATGTTGGCGAGTGAGGTGAGGTGAGGATGTGGCAGCCAGTGGCTAGCTGGCTGGTGTGTGGCGGCCCCTATTCATGGCTTTTTGACTCACCATACCAACTTTGAAGATTGTTATGGTGACCAAAACCTGCAGATACTTACATATAACCTGTGTATATAATGTAATAACAGCAAAACGATTTGTTTATTATTTTATGAACATAATAATTGAATCACTGATATGCACACTATAATTTTGAGTATAGCAATGGTTCACACATTTTATTATATAAATATATTACAGTACACACTGTTGAATAATATTACTTAAAAAAAAATAAGAAAAATCAATCAGTCATTGAAATAATTAGGTAATAATATCTTTGTGGCAACTCCCACCTGACAGCTGGGGCGGAGCAGACCGCCTCGGACCCTTGTCTCTGCCTTTTTTGCCAGACTTCCCCGCCTTATTGCGGCCAAAATAAGTCACCTACTATTTTTTTATTCTTTTTCCCGTGATAAGGGAACACAAATGAACACTTATAAGAAAGAATTTTTTGCAATTTTTTTTTGTACTGCTGTTCAGCTTGTGGCCACAGCATTGCCTAAAACTGTCAAAATATATATATGTAACTGGTACATATAAGAGCAAAAGAAGCATGTTGGGAGGAGCCATTTTGGTGAGGGAGGTGGCATCGTGTGCTAGCTGCTATGTTACTTGTCATGCAGTTTTTTGTGGCCACCATCTCGGACACCATACCAGCTTAGTTGTATATTTATGGTGAACAAAACATACAGTATTTACATATATGTATGTACAGTAGATACAGTATTTATATTATATATATATATATATTGTGTGTATATAGTGTAGTAACAGAAAAAACAGTATGGTGGGAAAAGCAATGTTGGCAAGTGAGGTGTTGACGGATGGAGGGGAGGGAGGGGAGGGGAGGGGAGGGGAGGGAAGGGGAGGGAAGGGGAGGGGAGGTAGGGGAGGGAGGGGATGGAGGAAGGGGAGGGGAGGGAGGGAGGGGGGGGGGAGAGAAGGAGGGGGGAGGGAGGGAGGGAGGGGGGGAGGGAGGGAGGGAAGGGGGAGGGAGGGGAAGGGAGGGGAAGGGAGGGAGGGGAAGGGAGTGAGGGAGGGGAGGGGAAGGGAGTGAGGGGGGGAGGGGGAGGGGAGGGGGAGGGGAGGGGGGGAGGGGAGGGGGAGGGGAGGGGAGGGAGGCAGACATTTTGGTGTGGGAGATGTTGGTGAGGGAGGGAGTGAGGCTGTCGTGTGCTTGCTGCTGTGTCATGCAGTTTCTGTGGCCACTATGGTGTTTGGACACCATTCAAGTTTAGTTGTACAGTTATGGTGAACAAAACATGTAGATACTTATATATAACATGTGTATATAGTGTAATAAACCCACAAACACTTTTGTGGGAGGAGGTATGTTGCTGCGCTGACAGCTCCACCTGCCAGCGCAGGTGCAGCTGACCGCCTCAGACGCTTACTCTGCCAACACCTCAATTTTGCCAGACTGCCTCGCCCTATTGCGGCCAAAATATGTCTCCTATGATTTTGTTATTATTGTTCCCGTGATCAGGAAACGCATTTTAACAATCTTAGAAGAAAACAAAATTTGATTTTTTTCCTGCATCTGGTGGTGTTGCAGGTGACATAACCCCAAGCACTGCCCAGGGGTTAATTACTAGTACTAAATTTAATCCATATACAAGATTAAACCTCTAAGTAACTCTAGGATTACCTAGGGATTGACCTGCAAAATGCAGTACCGCAATTGGCTTATAAAATGCCACCAAGATGTGAGATAGGACAGCCCTACAGTTTCCAGGCATGCCACTAAGAGGTGCGTGAGATGCCACTCTCAAAAAGAGGGGCAATATTTGTTGGCATACCCATTCATTCAGACCTTGGCACTCCTGAGGTTTATTGTTCAATTTCTGCAAAGATGTTCTACAATTTCTCCTCTAAATACTAAGAATGTGACTGTGAAGGCTCAACTTGTAATAGATGCAAGATGATATTAGCTATATTACGTTAGACAACTGACAGTCGGAAAGGTGGGGCCCAAGAGCTAACAGCTCGATCCTGCTATCTTGAGATGATTTCAGGGCTTAGTGTCCCTGTCGCCCGGTCCTCGGTCAGGCATCCTTTTTGTTATACATTCCCAGGAAGCAGGTCGCAGCAGCTGTAACTCCCAGGTACCTATTAACTGCTAGGTGAACAGGGGCACCAGGGTGAAAGAAACTGCCCATTTGTTTCCACCTCCGCCGGGAATCGAACCCAGAACCTTAGGACTACAAATCCTGAGCACTGTCCACTCAGGCTGCATGGACAAATAGTAAATACAATAAAGAATATTACACGTGGCATCCCTTGGGCTCTGGTCTGCACCGAGTATAGAATAGGAAGGATCACTGTCTGATAAAATTCACAATGAAGAGAAGATACTGAAGTTCTACAACAAAACAATCACAAGGCTTTGTCGTAAAGAACGGTAGAGTACAAGTCAGGCGTAAGCTAAGATTGTTAATGATCAATCAGGATGTGGTATAAACACCAGAGATCAAGCCAAGAAGCTAATGGCTTCGTATGGGAGGAAAAATAAATACTTCCACAAGCACATAATCTTAGCCTAGGCATGCCTTTACTCTATTAGGTGGCTTAGCAGCTTCAAGAACTGCCAATGTATTAAATGTATCAAGTCAGCTATTCAGAGCACATGCTCACACTGGTGCTGCAATCGAGACTCAAGACATGTTCCTGGAGAGTATGAACAGACAAAAATACTTTAAACAAATTTACAATGCAGATGAAACTGGATTATACAATTGGTTTACAAGCAAGCGTGTGCGCACACACACACACACACTTGTGTTTCCATTTTTTCCTTGTGGAAAAAGGCTAACATAGTTCTAATCTACAAAAGTGGAAGCAGGGAAGACCCCCTTAATTATAGACCTGTATCATTGACAAGTGTAATAGTCAAAATATTGGAAAAAATAATTAAAACTAAATGGGTAGAACACCTGGAGAGAAATGATATATCAGACAGACAGTATGGTTTTCGATCTGGAAGATCCTGTGTATCGAATTTACTCAGTTTCTATGATCGAGCAACAGAGATATTACAGGAAAGAGATGGTTGGGTTGACTGCATCTATCTGGACCAAAAAAAGGCTTTCGACAGAGTTCCACATAAAAGGTTGTTCTGGAAACTGGAAAATATTGGAGGGGTGACAGGTAAGCTTCTAACATGGATGAAAAATTTCCTGACTGATAGAAAAATGAGGGCAGTGATCAGAGGCAATGTATCGGACTGGAGAAAAGTCACAAGTGGAGTACCACAGGGTTCAGTTCTTGCACCAGTGATGTTTATTGTCTACATAAATGATCTACCAGTTGGTATATAGAATTATATGAACATGTTTGCTGATGATGCTAAGATAATAGGAAGGATAAGAAACTTAGATGATTGTCATGCCCTTCAAGATGACCTGGACAAAATAAGTATATGGAGCACCACTTGGCAAATGGAATTTCATGTTAATAAATGCCATGTTATGGAATGTGGAATAGGAGAACATAGACCCCACACAACCTATATATAGTGAGAAATCTTTAAAGAATTCTGATAAAGAAAGAGATCTAGGGGTGGTTCTAGATAGAAAAGTATCACCTGAGGACCACATAAAGAATATTGTGCGAGGAGCCTATGGCACGCTTTCTAACTTCAGAATTGCTTTTAAATACATGGATGGTGATATACTAAAGAAATTGTTCACGACTTTTGTTAGGCCAAAGCTAGAATACTCAGCGGTTGTGTGGTGCCCATATCTTAAGAAGCACATCAACAAACTGGAAAAGGTGCAAAGACATGGTACTAAGTGGCTATGGGCACTAAGATATGGGCACCATATAACGGCTGCATATTCCAGTTTTGGTCTAACAAAAGTCATGATGTCCGTGTTCGTTGCTGTTTTTACATACTCTGCATATATTTCTGGTAGCTTTTGTGGAACACAAAAGGAACCCTATGTGCTTCAGGAATGCCATACATTAGTTTGGTGATGTTTTCCCATATCTGTCTAATCATTGTGACAGATCCAGTAGGTACCTTGTTTGTTTGCATAGTGTGTAGGTAAATCTGTACAACTCAGATGAAATCTTGTGTTACAAATGTTACATACAATCCCTTACAACACTCTTCTGAAGTGATTTAAAGCAGCTGCCACACACCTCCATGATGGGTTTATGATGTAGAGGATGTCTGTTCCCCTATTTGTGATATATTGTTGATTTATCCCTTGTTGACTTTAGTCATTTTACTATGTACATTATATGAATATATTTATAATATATGTATGTATATATAATATGTATACAGTAAATATATAATATTATAAATGTTTATTAATTCAACTTTATGTGGAGGTAATTATCGCATGGGTAAAGAAAATGGTCCCAGTGGGATGTACAGTTGACCGCTGTTGTCCCAGGTCACGGGATGGATGCCACCAGTTGTCAGTTCCTTGATTTATAACACTTATTATTTGCCTGGATTACCATAATCGATTTTCTGCTTACTTTCCGGCTTGCAATGGTTCCTGTATTACAATATATAGTGCCAGTATATTATGACTGAGGGATGTCCAGTACACTGGGTAGCCTCGTGGTTGTGGTGTAAACACCGCCTAGTGTGATGCCTGCTCGTGCCACAAACTTTACACTTCTAGTTTTCCATGTGCAATTCTCCTACACTTTCAACTTATTTAAGTGTTGTGTTACATGTTCCACTTCACTGTTCCACATATCACTATTCTCTATACTTGATATATATCGACTGTACACATGAGCCTGGTGGCACTGGCTCCCCCACGTGGTTCCACTCTTATTCTTTACTTAACTCAAAGTTCCATTATAAATTACTATGTTCAACTTTCCTACAGGTCATTATGCACTTTGTGATGACTGTGATCAGTAATCCATGGTTGTGACCCTAAAAAACCTAGGTATATTTCAAGATTTTATCGGAGCGCAGACAACACATCTTTCCCTCCCCCCTCACTTCCTCGGTGTTCAACAACTGGACCGAGGGGGAGAGATACAGGTAACCCCACCTCGACAAGTCCAGCCACATGTATCGGGAGACACCGAGACCACTCCGACGCGAAGAGGTATACCCCAGGGCACCCGTACGTCCAGCAGAGCCAACTGAAGGAGTCGGCGTTGACCGACCATTCCGTGGACAAGGTAATGAACCAAGACAGGCTATTCACCAGGACGTCGGACACTCCCTGGATATGAACTGCACGGAGAGCCAAACCCTGAGAATCCAGCAGACGAGTCACTCGAAGAGACCAGCCCCAAGGAACAAAGAGAACGCTGGTGGTTGAGACAATGAACCACCAGAGAGCAGCCCAAATGAGTTGAACCGTGGAACCTCCAAGCGACCTGAACCCTCCGAAACGACAGCCAAACCCCCGCAAACTCCTGCACCGTGTGGTAGGCCCGACAGACCCCACTGCCCCTAATCAGCCTGGTGAGCACTGATCACAAAACCCCAGCCGAGAGACTACACATCCGTGAACACATCGAGCGAGGGCTCGGGTAGGCGCCAAGGCAATTAACCCCGAAAAACCTAAGAAGGAAGCCGGCAATGCAGCAACTGACGCAAGGCCCCAGCAGTCCGAACCCAACGATTGTGAGAGGCAGAAGGGAGAACCCCAAAGGAACCAGAACAGACACCAAAACCAAACCCAACCCGGCGGGTAAACCAGTATGGCAAAGTTCAGACTCCCGCACAACTTCTCGAGCAACCGTCAAGTGACCCGGGAAGGTCCAAGGACACCATCTAGGCACCCGGCTCCAAGAAAAGCCGTACTTAAATAGACAAGAGGACAAATGTCCTCTATCAACTTCTTAGCAAATTATTTACAGAATAAACGTTATTGTTGTCAATAATTTAGGGATCTCTATCTCCATTCTTGAACATTAGTACTCCATTTGCAGTTTTCCAGGTGTGTTATTTCAGCAGCAGAAAATACTGGTTTGGTCCTGCAGTCTTGCTCATGTCAAACTGAATGAAGCAATTCATAAACTCCTCTGATACTAGCATATCACTGAATATTACATTAAGTGTTCTATCAGGAAATTTTCTATTAGGTTTTGACTAATTTTGCACTCATCATTATCCAGTAAATTGTTCCAACTATAATCACCAAGGTCTTGGAGTTTAGCTGTTATGCCACATAGGCTGCTCTCCCTCTCTCTCTCTGACCTTCAGCCAATGTTTTTGGTCTTGCTGACTTCCTTTAGCCTCCAGTTTTTTGGTTGGGGGGTTGCATATGACTGCTGCCTTTATCCCTTTGTAATATATTTTTACCATGCCTATAATAAAGCCCTGTCAGTTGGCCCTTGCTCCCAGTTTCTGCCTCAAAAGTCAATTGCATTTGAATCATCAATACAGCTCCTTCATTCTCTATTTTCTAATCACATGTGGCAATGTTTATCAGTGCTTACTTATCAGAATCTACTGGAAATGAAGTCTAGCACCCTATGCTCATCTAATTTTTTGTGCATAGTGCATTTTTAAATCCCTTCACTTTTTAGTTCTATGTAATATTTGCTGGAAGTTGTGGATGATGATGATGATGACTTTCAATACATTCCACTTGACCTATGTATGGGTTGTTACATGTACTTCCCAAGTTTTTCAACATTGCTGAATTTCCAATTTTCACTGAAATCCTGGAGTACTCTTCTCTCAATTTAAAAGGGCCATCATCATATGTCTTCTCTATTCCCCTTTAGAACCATTTGATCAAGACCCCTTAACCTGTCCCCTAGAGCTCAAACCTCTCAATTCAGACACATCTTGTAGACACCTGTGCCTTATTTAGTTTTCGTTCGGATTCCACATGCTTGTGCTGCTTATTCTAGTATGGTTGGTGTTGTGTGGCAATAAATGGATGGTTGTGGTATATTGTTGGAGTTTTTTTGTGTGGTTTAAAGAATTGTGCTTCTCATTTGGGACTATTAGCTTATATTATGACATTTTATGAATCATTTCAACCCATCCTCCTGAATAGACAGTACTTTTTGTAACTATGTGGACCATCGTACATACATAGACGTAATGGACAATTAGATAGTAGAATTTGGAACTATTCACTTTTATAGAGTCCAAACACAAAGCTAAAACCAAACTTAATTATTACAAGGCCTAGTAAAAGAGATATGTACTATATTAGGCTTCAGATAGCATGTATTAGGCCTACGAAGGTTATGTTAAGATTCATTTGCAACATCATAACAAGAACTTTTCCGGTTTGTCCAAATTCAATAATAGCGTTTTCTACTCTCTAATTGCCTTCACGTCAATATAAGTACAGGTATTATGGTGCTCACCACTACTATAAGTACTACCTAAGCAGGAGGATTGGCTCTCTGCAGTGGGGTGGCTGTCATTGTGGTTGCTGTCATTGTCAATGACTATCCCAATTAGGTGTCACGGAACATATCCCCATGTAAAACAATTCATTTTTAATACTTTTACAGCAGTGCCTTTAAGGGCCTTTCACAGATGACAAGCAGCAAAGGGCTGAGAAGAACACTGTTTGTAGCCCACACCCAAGCTGATGAAAGTGTGCAATTTATGTAGGCATTCGTCTTTACTGAGCTAAGAATACAGCAGACAGATGTCAATACTCACCTCGTTCTGGAATACCTCTTCTCCTTTTTCAATCTTCGGGTGTCTATTGATTGGGATCGGGACCTTCTCATGCTGCCTCCACGAGAACCAGAGCGTGAACGACGTCTTAGCTTTTCCTCTCTCTCTCTTCTTTCCCTTTCCCGTTCACGTTCTCTCTCCCTTTCCCTTTCTCGCTCACGTTCTCTCTCCCTTTCTCGCTCCCTTTCCCTGTCTCTTTCCCGCTCCCTCTCCCGCTCTCGTTCTCTATCGCGGTCTCGATCCCGCTCTCTGTCCTTCTCCCTCAGCCTTCTCTCCCTTTCTTTCTCTTCTTCCTGTTTCTGTAAGGACATGTCAACAAAATTAGATATCAAAAGCAACAAAATAACCATCAGGGCACATTGAATAACATCAAATTCTAACAAAAACTTAAAGACCACAGAACAACAGGCAGAAGCCCACAGACATTGCTGGCTTTTCTGTTGTGCACACATACACACGCGCACACACACATATGCAAACAAGAAACTGTTGGCCCTACTATATGGTGAAGCAATGGTTGAAATTTCCTCAAAATGTGAGAAGCTCTGAGCCTACAAAAGGGATACTGTGTGTGTGTGTGTGTGTGTGTGTGTGTGTGTGTGTGTGTGTGTGTGTGTGTGTGTGTGTGTGTGTGTGCGTGCGTGCGTGCGTGTGTGTATGTATGTGTGTATGTGTATGTGTATGTGTGTATGTGTATGTGTGTATGTGTGTATGTGTGTATGTGTGTGTGTATGTGTATGTGTATGTGTGTATGTGTGTATGTGTATGTGTATGTGTATGTGTGTATGTGTATGTGTGTATGTGTATGTATGTGTATGTATGTGTATGTATGTGTATGTGTATGTGTGTATGTGTATGTGTGTATGTGTATGTGTGTATGTGTATGTGTGTATGTGTATGTGTGTATGTGTATGTGTGTATGTGTATGTGTACTCACCTAATTGTACTCACCTAATTGTGCTTGCGGGGGTTGAGCTCTGGCTCTTTGGTCCCGCCTCTCAACCGTCAATCAACTGGTGTACAGATTCCTGAGCCTATTGGGCTCTATCATATCTACATTTGAAACTGTGAATGGAGTCAGCCTCCACCACATCACTTCCTAATGCATTCCATTTGCTAACTACTCTGACACTGAAAAAGTTCTTTCTAACGTCTCTGTGGCTCATTTGGGTACTCAGCTTCCACCTGTGTCCCCTTGTTCGCGTCCCACCAGTGTTGAAAAGTTCGTCCTTGTTTACCCGGTCGATTCCCCTGAGGATTTTGTAGGTTGTGATCATGTCCCCCCTTACTCTTCTGTCTTCCAGTGTCGTGAGGTGCATTTCCCGCAGCCTTTCCTCATAACTCATGCCTCTTAGTTCTGGGACTAGTCTAGTAGCATACCTTTGGACTTTTTCCAGCTTCGTCTTGTGCTTGACAAGGTACGGGCTCCATGCTGGGGCCGCATACTCCAGGATTGGTCTTACATATGTGGTGTACAAGATTCTGAATGATTCCTTACACAGGTTCCTGAACGCCGTTCTGATGTTAGCCAGCCTCGCATATGCCGCAGACGTTATTCTCTTTATGTGGGCTTCAGGAGACAGGTTTGGTGTGATATCAACTCCTAGATCTTTCTCTCTGTCTGTTTCATTAAGTACTTCATCTCCAATTCTGTATCCTGTGCCTGGCCTCCTGTTTCCACTGCCTAGTTTCATTACTTTGCATTTACTCGGGTTGAACTTCAACAGCCATTTGTTGGACCATTCACTCAGTCTATCCAGGTCATCTTGTAGCCTCCTACTATCATCCTCTGTTTCAATCCTCCTCATAATTTTTGCATCGTCGGCAAACATTGAGAGGAACGAATCTATACCCTCTGGGAGATCATTTACATATACCAGAAACAGTATAGGTCCAAGGACTGACCCCTGCGGGACTCCACTTGTGACGTCTCGCCAATCTGAGACCTCACCCCTCACACAGACTCGTTGTCTCCTGTTGCTTAGGTATTCCTCTATCCACCGGAGTACCTTCCCTCTCACTCCAGCCTGCATCTCCAACTTTCGCACTAGCCTCTTGTGTGGCACTGTATCAAAGGCTTTCTGACAATCCAAAAATATGCAGTCTGCCCACCCTTCTCTTTCTTGCCTTATTTTTGTTGCCTGGTCGTAGAATTCAAGTAACCCTGTGAGGCAGGACCTGCCATCCCTGAACCCATGTTGATGCTGTGTTACAAAGTTCCTTCGCTCCAGATGCTCCACTAGTTTTTTTCGCACAATCTTCTCCATCAGCTTGCATGGTATGCAGGTTAGGGACACTGGCCTGTAGTTCAGTGCCTCCTGTCTATCCCCTTTCTTGTATATCGGGACTACGTTAGCTGCTTTCCAAGTATCTGGCAGTTCCCCTGTTGCCAGTGATTTGTTATACACTATGGAGAGTGGTAGGCTCAGTTCTCTTGCTCCTTCCTTTAGAACCCAAGGGGAGATTCCATCTGGGCCTATAGCCTTCGTCACGTCCAACTCTAGTAAACACTTCCTTACTTCCCCACTGGTAATCTCAAACTCTTCCAGTGGTTCCTGGTTAGCTATTCCCTCACTTACCTCTGGAATTTCTCCTTGTTCTAAGGTGAAGACCTCCTGGAATTTCTTATTCAATTCCTCACACACTTCCTTGTCATTTGTAGTGAATCCTTCCGCCCCTATCCTTAATCTCATAACCTGTTCCTTTACTGTTGTTTTTCTCCTAATGTGGCTATGCAACAATTTAGGCTGAGTCTTTGCCTTGCTTGCGATGTCATTTTCGTATTGTCTTTCTGCCTCTCTTCTCATCCTGACATATTCATTCCTGGCATTCTGGTATCTTTCTCTGCTCTCCAGTGTCCTGTTATTCCTATAGTTTCTCCATGCCCTTTTACTTTGCTGCTTAGCTAGCCTACATCTTTGATTAAACCATGGGTTTCTCATCTTCATTTCTCTGTTTTCCTTTTGGACTGGGACAAACTTGTTTGCTGCGTCCTTGCACTTCTGCGTGATGTAATCCATCATATCTTGGGCCGTCTTTCCCCTGAGCTCTGTTCCCATGCTATATCTGTTAGGAATTTTCTTATCCCCTCATAGTTTCCCTTTCGGTATGCTAATCTTTTGGTTTCGGTATCCCTCCTCGAGTTCAATAACCCTTCTTCAATCAAGTACTCAAACACCAGTACACTGTGGTCGCTCATTCCTACTGGGTCCTCAAAACCGATTTCTCTTATGTCGGAGTCGTTCAGAGTGAAGACTAGGTCGAGTCTCGCTGGTTCGTCATTGCCTCTCATCCTTGTGGGTTCTCCGACATGCTGCGTTAAAAAGTTGCTTGTCACCCCCTCCAATAGTTTGGCTCTCCACGTATCCTCGCCTCCATGCGGTTCCTTGTTCTCCCAGTCAATCTTTCCGTGATTGAAGTCGCCCATGATGAGCATGTGGGATCTATTTCTACAGGCAGCAGAGGATGCCCTCTCAATTATAGTGTTAACTGCCTTGTTGTTGTTTTCATACTCTTGACTGGGTCTCCTGTCATTTGGTGGAGGGTTGTATATTACTGCTACTACTATTCTTGGTCCTCCCATTGTTATGGTGCCTGCTATGTAGTCTCTGAACTCCTCACAGCCCGGGATGGCCATCTCCTTAAAACTCCATTCCCTTCTCATGAGTAGGGCCACTCCGCCTCCTCCTCTACCTTCCCTCTCTTTCCTTATTACTGTATACTCCTGGGGAAACACGGCATTCGTTATGATTCCAGAGAGTTTTGTTTCAGTGAGTCCGATTACATCTGGGTTAACTTCTTGTGCTCTTTCCCTTAGTTCAAGTGTGTGTGTGTGTATGTATACACATACACATGTGTGTATGTGTATGTGTGTATGTGTGTATGTGTGTATGTAATTACCTAAGTGTAGTTACAGGATGAGAGCTACGCTCGTGGTGTCCCGTCTTCCCAGCACTCTGTCATATATCGCTTTGAAACTACTGACGGTCTTGGCCTCCACCACCTTCTCACTTAACTTGTTCCAACCGTCTACCACTCTATTTGCGAAGGTGAATTTTCTTATATTTCTGAGGCATCCGTGTTTAGCTAGTTTAAATCTATGACCTCTTGTTCTTGAAGTGCCAGGTCTCAGGAAGTCTTCCCTGTCAATTTTATCAATTCCTGTTATTATTTTGTATGTAGTGATCATATCACCTCTTTTTCTTCTGTCTTCTAGTTTTGGCATGTTTAATGCCTCTAACCTCTCCTCGTAGCTCTTGCCCTTCAGTTCTGGGAGCCACTTCGTAGCATGTCTTTGCACCTTTTCCAGTTTGTTGATGTGCTTCTTAAGATATGGGCACCACACAACTGCATATTCTAGCTTTGGCCTAACAAAAGTCATGAACAATTTCTTTAGTATATCGCCATCCATGTATTTAAATGCAATTCTGAAGTTAGAAAGCATCGCATAGGCTCCTTGCACAATATTCTTTATGTGGTCCTCAGGTGATAGTTTTCTATCTAGAACCACCCCTAGATCTCTTTCTGTATCAGAATTCTTTAAAGATTTCTCACATAATATATAGGTTGTATGGGGTCTATGTTCTCCTATTCCACATTCCATAACATGACATTTATTAACATTAAATTCCATTTGCCAGGTGGTGCTCCATATACTTATTTTGTCCAGGTCTTCTTGAAGGGCATGTCAATCATCGTCGAAAGCCTTTTTTAGGTCCAGATAGATGCAGTCAACCCAACCATCTCTTTCCTGTAATATCTCTGTGGCTCGATCATAGAAACTGAGTAAATTTGATACATAGGATCTTCCAGATCGAAAACCATACTGTCTGTCTGATGAATCATTTCTCTCCAGGTGTTCTATCCATTAAGTTTTTATTATTTTTTCCAATATTTTGACTATTACACTTGTCAATGACAGGTCTATAATTGAGGAGGGTCTTCCCTGCTGCCACTTCTGTAGATTGGAACTATGTTAGCCTTTTTCCAGACATCTGCTATGACTCCTGAACACAGGGATGTCTCAAAAATCAGTTGAAGTGGAATGCCGAGCTCAGATGCACATTCTCTCAGACCCATGGTGAAACTCCATCTGGGCCAACTGCTTTGTTCTTTCTTAGCTCCAGGAGCATTTGTTTCATTGTCTCTAGACACCTCTGTGTGCTCAATGCTGTTCTCTGAAATTCTTATTGTGTCTGGTTCTCTGAACTCATTTTGTACAAATACAATTTGGAACTTTTCATTTAATGTTTCACACATTTCATTTTCATTTTCCGTGTATCTGTCCTCCATTTTCAAC